GTTCATCCTTAACCCAAAAGCTCTGGAGACAGCAGTGGATCATGTTTACACTCATTCTTCCACTGAAAAATGTATGATTCTGATTGGTGGCTAAAAAACCTTTAACAGGTCAACCCCAAAAATTCTAGTTGCTCACACTTTAGCGTCTGATCGTGCAGCATGTCATCTTATTCCTAAATGTCACAGTCATCTATCACCCACCCATACTTTCATTTATTTCCAAAGCTGCACAAATTGGACACATCACAATGAATCTCTTTTTTTTTTGCTTATTTATATATTTCAGAATGTTTGTATTTTTTATTTATTTATTTTTCACTCCATTTGTCATTCTGAACTGCAGCAATGAAAGGGATAAACAGAAAAATGTGATGCAATGGGAACTCAACATTATGAGGGAGATAAAGAAGTAAAAAATGGAATGGAAATTGGATTGAGTGGAAAGCTCTGCAGCTGCTCTATTATTCAGTAGGAGGCCATGAATATATTGGAATGCCTTATTAAAATAATGGGAAAGCTTTGTTTTGTTTACAGTTTTCAGATTAGTTCCAGGTCCTGTTTATTTTTAAATTGTTTTCTATATCTGAGTTCAGCCAAACACAGATAAATGAAAATGACGTGTTTGGGCCTATTTCTGATGAGTGATTTTTAACCAATTTTAAGGCTTCAGAGAGGAAAATACATATTTTTTTCAGTTTGAAAACTCTTTTAGAAAACATGACCACGTGAGACTTTTTTTCCCACTAAAATGTAAAATCTCCTTCAAGGGAGCCCTGGCCAAGACGATGTGAAAAAGTAAAATATAAATATCAAACCGATGAAATACATTAAAGACAGACAATTTACAAAACTCATCATCAACATCCTCACTTGTAACACTCGATCACAACACGTGTTTCTGGTACTTAATTTAATCTTAATCCTGGCTTTAATCTATGAAATCGCTGCTAAATGCTGTGATTTGAACTCACTGCTTACCAGCTCAGCGGCCTAGTGATATGGGTGTCTGCCATGGGACTGGAAGCTCAGAGTTCAAATACAGTCAGTCATACCAAAGACTTTAAAAATGGTACCCAATGCCTCCCTGTTTGATGCTTAGCTTAAAAAAAAGCAAGTCACCCATAAATCAGCTCTTTTTTCTGATAAACTGTATAATTGCGTGTCTAATCGTGCTGCAGACACGTGTAGTCAATAGTTTTGCACTTAAAGTGCATTTTAGTTAAACTTTTTATTTTCTGCCTAAAACTGTCTGGTGTGCCGTTGTCGGGTAAAAACTCTGCACTGCAGTTGCATTTAAATTTGCCATCGCTATTGGCTAAGAGGTACCCTAGAATAAAACCCTAGAGTCAGAGTACTAAATTCAGATGGGTTACTATCGGTCTGCCATTAGTATCGGCCAATCTTAAATATAAAATTTTGCTATTGATTTTTAGTCTTTGACACAATACCATACACACATTATACATCAAACTCTTCAGCTGCTTCTCTTTTTCTCAAAATGTCAAAATATGACTTATCTGATGTTAGTTTTTAAGATATTTTAGTTGAATTGGCACAGTTTGTGAAGTCGAAATGTGCACTGTGTAGTGACAAATGACGAAAAGATGATATTACTAATGGATACACACATCTTAGCATCATGCTGAGGGAGAATGAGATTCAGCTGCTGCTGGAGACAAAACAAACATGGCTTTTCCTATAAACTTCAATTCAAGCGGTTCACATTTAACAACGCATAACTAGAGAAATGAGTTTTTCTGGTTTTATGAGAGGGAGAAATAACATCATCATCGGTTGATATCGGTATATCAGATATTGGTAAAAAAGCCAGTATTGATCATCCCTAGTTCAGGTATTACATTGGAATGTCACGTTGAAAAATAGCCTGAAATCACCTACATCAACACATTCTCACACCCGAAGCGGCGAAAACTGACGCAGGGTGACCAAGCGTTTGTTTCCGACGTGTTGGGAGCCCCAACGCGTCAGAAGGTGACGCACTGTCGCTTTCCGACACCCACGGTAAAAACGGAGATTTCACCAAATTCTGACTTTTACCCTCTTGCATTAACCTTCCCCTCATCCCCATCCCCCCATAGATATACTATTCCCGTTGCAAAATCTACTCATGTAGCTAATGACAATAAACATTGAATTGTACACATGTAATTAAAATAAATAAAAAATTTCCAATGTACAAAATCATGAAACTTTAAGTAAATTCTGAAATAAACAGCAACTGCAAGATTCATAACGATCGGCTCTGGGTCGGCCGTCGGTCGATGATGACCTCTACATATCCATCGGCAACAGAAAAACCAATATCAGTCGACCTGTTATGCTAAGGGTATGAATAAGAAGATACTGTTTGCTCATTTTAAAAGTTTGTGCAATGAACGCGTTTATGCTTGTGTTGCTCTCGTGGGCGACATCTCTTTCCAAACGAGTTACAGAATACATTTTGTTCCTTTCTTTGTATCTTTGCAGCACAAATCCACCTTTTTTCTGCAGTTTGTCTGAAGTCTTATCTGCTGTTAATGTTAAACACTGGTTCATTTTTCAGTCACAACTTTATTTTACTGGCTGCAGAAGCAACTTTCAACACTTTGAGGAGCCAAATGAGAGCTCTGAGAGAACTCTGCGGTGCAGTTTTGGCAGTTTCATGCAGTGTGGATGTGGAACAATGAGACTTGTTGTGGTAGCCAGAAACATTGTGAATGTCGCTGGAGAGTTTGGTTTTAGCAAAGGCCACTCTCATATAATCGAAGCAAATTTAAAGGATTTCTTTTTGCAGTGGTGGTGTTACTGTTAGCAGTCAATGCATGATGGTGAAAAGTCAAAAGGAGTTTAAAAAAGACTTTACTAAAAAAAGACATTTACATATTTAATGTATCCAGCAATGAGGTTTGAAGTAGAAACACCCTCGCTGATGATGGGTGCTAACTGATACAGAGTGGAAAGCTTATTAAGTCAAGCTCATTCACTAATGAACGTCCATCTGTTATTGCATTTCCACTTTAATACAGTATTCCAGAGAACAGGTCAAAGCATTTTTCCATAATTGAGCTTATTCATTACGTTAATTAGATCTGGCAGAATGATGCCTGCTTGTGTAAACCAGGCATGTTTGCAGATCCATCTCACCGTGAGCCTCTCAGCTATTTCACGTCTGCCACCTCATGACGTTCAGATTTTAAACTTGGCTTTCCTTGGTCATTCATAAATACACGATTTAAAACTTAGCATAAACCTCTGTCTATGAACGTTAGTACTCTAAAAATGTACTAACATTCATTCTGAAAATATTGAAATTCCAAACATGTAATATATATATTACTGCTATTTGTATTTCCTGGGTCAAATGTTTATTTGCACTAACAACTTTTAGCCAAAACAAAAATTTAAGGCTACATAATGCTCCTTACAAATCTGCTTGGTGTTGGCAGTGCGGCCATAAAACAAACACTCACTGATGTGCAAACAGAAGCCATAAATAAGGTGGAGATGCAGTTGGGAGTGTGTGGAGTTGGGAGCTGGTTTGCAGCAATAAAAGCTGTTGGGTCACTCTTTAGCTCCCTTTTCCTTGTCAGAGCTGTTAATGCAATTAATTATACGTTGACAGCGCTCCAAACTTGCGATTATGGCATCTGCACCCCCCACGTCTGGGGAATTGATTATTTCTGCCAGTTTATCAACTTTTTGTTGTTGGAGGACAACAGATGTGAGAAGAAAGCAAGGGCAGAATCAATAGTGAAGAACATCGTGGCCTAAATGTGCATAAGGAGTTGGGAGGTTTTAGGCTGTCAGCAGTGTGCAACGCCAAAATGGTGCAACAAGCTATAGTGTCAACATTTAAATGCATTTTTAATTTTACCTTAAAACTAGAAAGTGTTTGTGACCTCAAACAAAAACTAAGAAACTAGGAGTAAAAGGTTTTGATGTTTGACACGACGACATGACACAAGCAGCTGGTGTTGTTTTAACACGAGGACCTCTTTTGCTTCAAGTACACCAACTCAGAGTTAAACTCAAACTCTGTGCAAACATCACATCTCTATTTTCTTGCATACCCACACGCCAACGTAAAAACAAAAAGATTAAAAGCAGCACGTGCTCCAAGTCGTGTGGCTCTACTGTCACATCTCTTTATTTTTGCTTGTTTGCATCCACATCCCATCTCCCATGTGCAACAAAACTCACAGTTATCTGTGCAGGGACATTTTTGGTGTTTTACCTTAGGTAGAACTTTTAACTGATCGTATTTTGTGGAAGGCCATTTTGTAAAGGCTACTTTCCTCAATAGCACTAAAGCATAAGAATTAGAATTAACATTATTAAGAAAATATGTTTAAATACAATCTAGTGGCAAAATGAATAAATAAATATGATAACTTCAGTCGTCTCTTCTGTTGCCCCATAACAGCACGCACACTCTGAGACTGCCTAGCAAAACCACCAAAATGTCCATCCTGTTGTGTAACTTCATCCTTCTGGCTACAGCACAGTGGTGGGTGGTGTCTGTGAGCATAGAGGTCCGTGTGCTCGAGATAAAGCATCAAACTCTAAATCTTACAAGGGTTGCAGCTTTGCTGAGTTGCTTGCTAAAGGGCAAGTCTTGATAAAATTAATCAGTTCAGTGTTTTTCTGCAAAATCAGCTCTGAAAGTCTGAGTGGGTTATTAACATGTTTACTGTGTACATATGGGGAAACGGCTGATTTTGATCACTTGTTTTCAAATTGATTTGATTCACAAAGAGAGCAAATGTGTGACTTTTAAACACGTGTGATTGTCCCGTGTTATACGCGGCGCCTCACACATCACGAGCAGTGGGGGTGGAGGAAGAAAAAGACACATTTAGAACGAGGGATGGGGAGGGGGTTTCCTCTCCTACAGGGAAAACGTAAATAGACCAGAGAAGTGTTGTGGCAGTGGATTTACCATGTTACCGCTGTTCTCGGATACGCTTTATCTGGGTCATGCACAGCTACAGAAAACAACGCTGAACGGTGATAACTTACCGTTTGGAAGCTTGTGAATGTTTTTTATTAGCCATTCAAACAGGCTGGCAAAGTTGCAATTGCACACCCAGGGGTTGCCCTCTAATCTCACCACCCGCAAGGAGGGCAACTGACTCAGAGCCCCCACTTTTAGGCTGGACAGTGCATTGCGTTCCAGTTCCAGTTCTCGCAGAGAGGTGAGGCCTAGGAAGGCGTCCTCGCTCACCATGCTCAGGTATGGGTTGTTTCCCAATCGTAGTTTGATTAAGCTTCGTGACTCCCCAAAAGTCCCCGTGGGGATTTCAGTCAGGTTGTTGCTACCCAGATCAAGGAAAACCAGCCTGGAAGTGGTGCTTAGGGTCCCAGGTTCTATGTAGGAGAGGGAGTTGTTCCGGAGGTCCAGGTAAACCAAGTCACTGTAGAGTACCAGAAAATCCGAGGGGATGTGGGGTATCCAGTTGTCGGCTAGCAAAAGCCTGCGGACATCCAAGGGGATCTCTTCAGGAAGACGGGTCAACCCACGACCGTTGCAGTTCACAGTGTGAGGATCTGGGCACTGGCAGGTTGCTGGGCAGTTTTCCCCCCGGGTCCAAAAGACAGAGGACAGCAAGACGAGGATAGGTTGAAGCCAGCAGACACATGGCAACATGGTCAAGAGGGTCAAATAAGTTAGAGGAGAAGAGGTTTCAGGTTAAGGACAAAGGGAGAGGGTGGGTGGGGCTTGACAACAAGAAGGCGAGGGTCAGAGGGCAAGAGATCAGGACAAGGGTGGGAAAGGGATGAGTGAAGGGGCTGGAGAGGATCGGTCCCCCTCAATAAGCATCCTGACGTTATGAAAAGGGATACCTGACAGCGTTAAAATATTGTGAGACAGCTGAACAGCGGCGAAAATTGTTTTTGAAGAGATCATGTAGCAAGCTGCTGAAATAGAATAGCAGTCTGTTTCAAATGAGCGACGAAAGGCAGGCAGTGAGCAGCAAAAAGAACTGAGCCAAACACAGAGGGGAGCCAAGCTTAGAGGCAAAAAAACACAAACGACACTGGGATGAAGAGAAGCCAGGGACGCAGACAAGGGAGAGGGGGGGTGAGGAGAATGCTGTGTCCGCCACACTACCCCACAGTTCGTCTGACGGCGGTGACAGACAAAGACAAAGAGGGCTCTGACAAAAAAGGATATATGAAGCTGTGATTCAAGCATGACAAGCAGGGGGTTGCATCGCTGCATTCGTCCATTAGTCCGAGGTCTTTGTGCAGAAAAGCCAGACGGTTGGATGAAATAGAGAGAAGCTCACGGAGCATCGCTCATGTGTGTGGTGATGTTGCCCCCACCTCCCCCTTAATTTTCCCTCTCTATCTCCCAGTGCACAACAACATGCTGTAAGAGCATAGCAGAGCTCAGCGTTCCTCTGTCCAGCACCATCTTAAGGCTGTTTGAGAGAGAATCCAAACGTCCAGGCGGGAGCGTTGTGGGTGCAGGCTCCAGTGCTGAGCGGGCACACAGCCATGCCAATCCAACGTCTGCTGCTGAGTCTCCCACGGTTTATCTCATACCCTCTTCTTATTTCCAGAGGGGGCGTGCCTAATGTAACGCTGTCAACATATGATGTCACTTCCTAGTGTGACAAGAAATGATGATTGAATCTCAAAATAAAAAATTAATTAAAGAAGTTTTAGAGAATTTTATTCCATGTTGTTTAAATTATAACCAATAACATTAATAAATTATAACCGATAACATTAATATTCTTACTAAGATGCATATTGATTTTTATTATAAACGTGTTGCATAATGCCGTGAAAAATATGACATGTTGTTTTTAAACATGAACAAGTTGAATAACAGTGGTGAATGGTGTTTGTTCTTGTACTTTTTTTTACCATGTCTGGTATGATTGATGAATTCTGCTGCCATGAATTTCAATTTGTAATGATGAAGGAATTAATTCCCAAATGGGATTTTCTCCTGCAGGTAAATGCAATTAGATCAACGGGCTGTTGCAGGTGGATGGAAAATTAGACGTGGAGATGAGAGCAGTGTGAAATTTCTGTCAAGCATTACAATTTTTAAGATACCACATCTCAGGGGCACACTTTCACACATATTCACAAACACACACCTTTGATCGAAGCATACCTGTGCCTCAAAAGAAAAGAGAGTCGTCCACGATGCTTGCTAGCCTGACCAGGCTGCCCCATGCTTCCTAATGGAGGCAACGGCTCTGACAACTCTCCTTTTCAAATAACCCCACCCCCTGAGAATTCTAACCCAGCCAATCAGCAGCGGAGTTCGCTGCGACTGTTTCCTCTGTTCTAAATGACTTGGGCTTGTCTTTAAAACCACAACAACTGTAAGTCAAGTCAAAGTCAAAGTCATTTATTGTCATTTCTACCACATGTGCAGGACATATAGAGAAACGAAATTGAGTTGCAGCACACACAATTCAAAGGTCAGACATATGTGGGTAAGACACATAACATGAATTGGTGACTGCGGTCATTCGCAACATGAGTCGCGCTACCTTAATAGATAGATGAAAAGGGTGTTACATGAGGATAAGTGGGGGTAGGTAAAAAAAAAAGGCATAGCAGAGTTAGCCCCAGCGGGAAGTAACTCTATTATACAAAAAAAACTCCTTTAACATGGAAGCACAAACAGCACAGATACAACATCAGAGTCCGATGGGGAGGCGGGGATGGGTGGGATCCTGAAGCCTCCAATGGGAGCTGCCACTGCGGCGCATCAACCAACTGCAGACCAACAGGTGGGAGGGAGAGATTAAGGACCAGAGAGCACATTGAAGTTTCCCGCAGACATCTCAATCTGAAGGAAGAGGGTGAAGGTCGGGACACAGCATCTGTCGGCATTCCTCCTTTCGTGGGGGTGTGTTGAAGCAGCCTTGAGAGGCTGCTCTGGCTTCAGATAAGGATAAACATGACTTTGTTTGGGGCAGGCAGAGATAATTTTCCTCTCCGCCTTGGAGTCTCTAAGTGGTCATTCATGTCCACCAGTGAAGCCAATTTTACGTTCTAAACATCCCCGCATCGTCCGGCGACCCTCTCCATAATAAAATCCATCTTGCATACTATCACAGGCAATGCCGCGAGGACATTATCCAGCTTGCGGTTCACCTCGAGTAACGTCCCAGTTTGTGAGGTCACCGCCCGAGTGGTAAAGAAAGATGCTTGCGACGTCGCAATTTTTTCACTACAGCTAAACAATCTACAGCGCTACGCAGTACAGTCGGCATCCCTGCCTTTATTCTGATTGGTTATTTTTGAGCTGGCTAGTCCCGCCCCTCATGTGTCTCTCTGCCTGTGAGGCCATGCTAGATGCATGCTTAACTTCAGCTGCAATGTGCTATTTTTTACTAAACAATTTCTTTTAGAATTTGTGGAGGCTCAATCTTCTAAGGCAGGGACTCCCTAAGCGTGGGGTGCGCACCCCTGGGGGTGCGAGAGCTGCCGCTAGGGGGTGCGCGAGGTGAAAAGTGTAATGGCTGCGGAGCTCATGAAGTCTGTCACATGTCACCATTAGCGTAGCCAGAAACTCATCTGTGGGTGGGCCTAAGAAAAAGTAAGTGGGCACAATAAATGTAATTGAAAATAAGTATATTTTGAGTGTGTGTCCTCCGCATGTGCCCTAGCTTCATAATAATAATGCGCCGAGCTTCAGCGCTCTGGCCTGTGCACGCTGTCAATAGCAAGATATGTTCCGTATTTGATCATTTTTAACGATGTTCGAGAAATCTGAAGGCGGTGAGTCATTCTGGCAGATTGTAATTAACACCCTGTCTCATGCAGGTGTTCTGACATTGTAAACCTCCCACACAGAACATTGTGGATGTAACTAAATAAATCAAGAAATGATTCCCATCTGAGCATTTTAGCATTATTATATTATTATATTAGCACACTGAATGTGGGACAGCATTCTAACAGCGTGCTGAAGATCTGAAGTTCAGAGTACGTTTGTCAGAGGTCATACGCGTTCCAGCGGAACCACGGCTCACGGGTGCACAAGTGAGCACATCAGTGGTGGGCAGAAGTAATTTTACAACATTGGTTTAAATAGCGCCATTGCGCCAATAATGAGACGCAGTGACTGGAGCGGCTCATGGAGCGGCTCATAGAGCTGTGCCACATACACACACACACACACTCACACACACACACACACACACACACACACACACACACACACACACACACACACACACACACAGATTCAATAAGCGCACGCTGCGCAAACTCCGTTGCTGCGCTGTGCCGCGCCATCAGATTGAAGGCAGAAACGAGCGCTGCTTCCTCCGTGATAAAAAACTTTTAAGAGGTTTTATAACAACATTTTTAATTCAAGGTCAAATTAAGATATTAGCTTCTGTTTTGGGATGACGTATGAAATTCGAATCCGAATTCGAATCCGCTCCAGCCAGTGACTCCTCATGAACCTGACCACAACTCATGTTACTGCAGCATTTGTTGTTCCAAATCGCAGATCGCAGATTCAGCCACACCATAAAACAACAAGTCTAAGTCGGTCTGAGGCAAAAGTGAACCTCATGGCTATAGCTTTTCCATCTTTTCCCCTATAGACATTTGATTACTCACAAGTAGGTGGCCAGTTCAGGTTTACGCAGAGCAGAAGGAAGGAGAGAGCTCTGGTTAAACGGCCCTACTTTAAGAAAACCGTTAAATTGCATTGTTTATGTGCTACCTGGGCACTCTACATATTTATTTAGAATAAATCAGAGGAAATTGCAATGGTATTGAATGCTTATTAATTACTATTTAAAAAATGAACATGATGGGGAAAAAGGTCATCATAGTTTTTTAACCCTGTCTATACATACACACACACACACACACACACACACACACACACACATATATATATATATATATATATATATATATATATATATATATATATATATATGTGTGTGTGTGGATCTACTGCAAAATAAATAAATTGGCAGTCCGTGGGATGAAAATTATCCTTTATTTTGGAAACATTTACTTTGTCTTTTTTTGTTAAAGGTAATTTTATTTGTGTATTTTAATCATGATTTTAGAGTCTACTCCAGGCTCAGAGTAGACCCAGTGCTCCTCCAAATCGAGAGGAGCAAGTTGAGGTGGCTCAAACATCTGGCCAGGATGCCTCCTGGTGAGGTTTGCCGGTCACGGAGGAGACCCAAGGGAAGACCCAGGATACACTGGAGGGCTTATGTCTCTCAGGGAATGCTTTGGGATTCCCCCAGAAGAGCTGGGCCAAGTAGCTGGGGAGTGGAAAGTCTGAGCGTCTCTGCTTAGGCTGCTGCCATCTCGACCCGACTCTGGATAAGCGGATGAAAATGGATGGATGGATTTTAGAGTTTTTTTTGTTTGTTGTCACATTGATTTTAAAACTAGAGTCTAAAATTTATGGTTTTCTGTTATTACAGAAAGCCACATTTAAGGAGGAACTAGGCAGTTTTGGTTTGCTCTTAAAACTGTTTAAAAGAAACAGAAAGCTGCTCGCTGTGCGTTTGTCTCTTTAACACCTTAAGGTGAAAGCTGAAATGTCTCCCCAGCCTTCATTAGTGTCTACAGGAGCAGTTCATCACAAAATTAAACAAACCAGCTGTTTTCATGATCTAAAACATGCTGGAAGCAGACTGCAGTGCCAGGTGAGTCAGCTAAAGTTTTATCCCAACAGAGCGCCCCGCCAGTCTGAAGTTGCAAGTGGAATATTCTGGCCACAGGAGGCGACAGGGGCTGGGTGGCCTTTCATCAACCCTGTAAAGGGCCATTTTAGCACGTACCGGTTCAAGAAAATTATATAAAATTATGAAAAATTATCCATTTAAACACAATTCATGATAATAGTCTTAAGTTTTATCAATCTATTTTATGTAAATGTATTGTCCGGGTTCAATTATTTCCTATTTGTTCCGTGGTTTATTCCCGTGTGTTTCTGTGGATTTGGTGTTGTTTTTTTGTCCTTGTTTTACTTTGTTCCTCAGCTATTTGGTTCTATTGCATATTCATTTAGTTGGTGTTGTGCCTTTGGTCCCAGTCTTAGTTTAGTCATTTATTATTCTTAGCTATTGTCCTATTTTCTACCAGCTGTTTCCTCTGTTGGCTTTGTCTCTTGTGTTGTTTTTTTTTCTTCTGTTTTGGTTATCTCACTGTTCTTTAGTCTCTGTAAGTGACTTCCACAAAGTCAAAAATCATTGAGTCCATTCAGAGCATTCACACCACGAACACGTCTTCGGGATATTCATGTGCGGTGCGGTGCAGATACGGAAGCGGAGCTGCTGAATCTTCCTCACAGTTTCTACGTTTTCCAAACACTGCATGCGGATTGTCATGAAGTTGGAGAAATGACATGAGTCTGACAGGAAGTGTAACATGTGTGCGAGTGGGATAAATCTGGAATATTTGAAAAAAGAAAAAAAATCTATGTTGCATCATTCTGCCCCACCTCTTTTCGTTGTCATTAATGACAGGGATGCCAGCCAAAAGTGTGGCTACTTTTACCAGCTCCTCTCCACACACATAGTTGACATCGGCTGAATTAGTGAGCAACGTTGTGGAGACTTCCACATACTATCCACAGCTTAGTGTAAATGTCATTTTTCACACCAGCCAGTGCTCAGTAATCAGCAGCCTGCACACCTGTCACTAG